AAAAAAAAAAAAAAAAAAAATGTAGGCAGTACCTGTGGCTCAAAGGAGTAGGGCATCGGCCCCCTATACGGGAGGTGGTGGGTTGAAACCTGGCCCCGGCCAAAAACTGCAAATAATAATAATAATAATAATACTTTGTGTCTAGTTGGGAAAAGGGATACCTGTGTATTATGAGTTTCCAGTTTTAGATATCTAGACCTGTGGTTCCCAACTTTGGGACCCTGGCCCTGTACCCATCCATAGCTTGTTAGGAGCTGGGCCACACAGCCTGAGGTGCCGGGCAGGGAAGTGAGGGAAGTTTCCTCTGTCACTGTCTCCCATCACCCCCAGATGGGGCTGTCTGGTTGCAGGAAAACCATTTCAGGGCTCCTACTGAATCTGCTGAGTTGTGTAATTATTTTATGATATATTACAATGCAACAGTAATAGAAATAAAATGCATGGGAATTGGAATACCCTTGAATCATCCAGAAACCATGTGCTCCCCCACCACTCCCTGGTCTGTGGAAAAGTTGTCTTCTATAAAACCAGTCTCTGGTGTCAAAAAGGTTGGGGACTGGTAATCTAGAGCATTTACCTTCCATTTTGGGGATGCAAAATAAATCTCTCTAGGCCCCTCCTAATTAACTCTTTATATATTTTTTAATTCACCTTGAAGAGGTTGAATTGTCCTCACAGATTGTTCGGGGGGCGGGGGGCTTATGGCTAAGGCTTGTGCCATATTTGAAGTACTCAAGGAAATTGTGGGGTTGAACACAGGAGAGTGGGGTTCCCAAAAGAACTAGGACATATCCTCTTACTGAGTTCTACAGATTCCTTGAGGGCAGTGGAATTCTCCTGGATTCCTTGCTGTTGCACTATGAGCCCTGGGGAGATATTTAGCTTTTCTGTAACTCAATGACTTGTATGAAATGAAGACCACGTTACCCCATGTTCCAAAGCTATTGTGAAGAGCGTATGAAATAATGAACGTGAACCTGAATTGAAAACGAAAGTGTTCTAAGTGCAAGGATCTTATTTATATTCCTTATTTATAGTCTATGATTCCATGTGTGTCCCATGGAACCCCCAAACAACATCAGATATTTCTTAAATAACTAAGGGCTTAGCACTGTGAAAGGGATTGTGGAAAATATAGAAGCAAAAGACATGGTCTAGCCCTCAAGCAGCTTACAGACCCCGGTGACCTAATCCTATGGCAGGCAGCAGCCCTGAGTTCAGAGGAAAGATCTTTGGGGGTTGGAAGAGAAGAGAGGTTCAAGTTGGTTGGGCCAGGCGTGAATGGGCTACACAGGGCAGGGAAGTGGCATAATCTTTCAAGTTTGGGAAAACCAAACTCTAGGGGAAATGGTACAATGGCATCAAGGGAAAATGGCGGATAAGACCGGAAGTGTTGATGAATGAGAGGAAGGAACAGTTAGGGTACAAAGGCACAGATGCTTTGGGGATGGGATTCTAAGAGTCAGTGAGGTCTGTGTCCCCAAAGAAAGGATACAAGCTCACATCTGACAGTCTTCATATCCTAACATCCAACTGTCTGCTCAGTGCATCTGGCAACTTGCAGATGAAGAAGAATGAAAATCTGTTTCCAAAATGTCTTAGAAACTGTAAAAGGGAATATAAATATATATAAATATTCCCTTTTGTTATTTTAATGTACTATTGTTAAATAAAATTAACCCAAGAACAGAAGTAGTTGTTTCCTCTTGAGTTTCTGAAGGCATCCATCACCAAAAATTATCCAGGAAAATGCATTTTTGCATCCTAAATGATTATTTTTAGAAATACTAAATAAATAAAACATTAGGGGAGGGAAACAGTAGGATTGCAGAATTAGGAAATGTATGCATTTTGTAAAAAGAGAGATCAATCAGATTGCAGAGCCGGCCAACTTCCTGTCACCTTGCATTTCAGAGCACTCATCTTTGGAATAGTTTTTTTTTTTTTTTCCCTGTTCTGTTCTTTTAAAATCTTTCTTCTAGATTTTGAATGGCACCAGGTTCATGCCATCTTAACTTGTCAATTGGTGCCATTGGTTTTAATAAAGTAGGAGTTTTGCTAAGAATGGGGACTGCAAGGCACATGGATAACAGGATAAGAATAATGAAAAAGATATATTTATGGGCTGCTACACACACAGGTTATTGACTTAGTTCAGCTTAATGGATTCTACATTTTTAATTTTTTTTTTAGTCCATGTCTTTTATTAACTCACATATAATTACTTGTCTTCTGGTTTATTGAAGCAATAAGTTAGATAACATTTGCCTTAATAATGTCTATCAAAGTGGCTTCCCATAAAAACTCTAGCACCACACTCATCTGAAAGACACTCTCAAAGAAGGGGGCCTATTTTACCACTCACCCACCTTATAGTATTTCAGGACATCCAGCTGAACTTTCTTTCTCTTATGCTTATTCTTCTTGGGAGTGGTATAAGACATCTTCTTTCTTTTCTTAAGTACCACCACGAAGTCTTAACACAAAATGAAGAGTGGACTCCTTTTGAATGTGGTAATCAGACAAAGTATGTCCATCTTCCAGTTCCTTCCAGCAAAAATGAGTCTTTGCTGTTCAGGAGAAATTCCCTCCACATTCTGGTTCTTGATCTTTACATTTTCTATCATAACCGAGGGTTAAACCTCAAGGATGATGTTCTTCCCTGTAAAGGTTTTTATGAAAATCTGTATCTTGGTGGTGGTGTCAGAATGGAAAGGAAGCGATTCTATCTTTTTAAAAATTTCTTCGGCCATCTCATAGAATTATTTTTCAATTCTTACATGGGTTTTTAAAAACTTTTTTCATGTGCTTTATACTGCCTGTCAAATTGTCCTAGGATCGTGTGTTTGTTTAGAAATATTTAAAATGAAAAAAGGAAATATATAAAACATTTGTTTGCTTATTTATTGACAAGTAGCAGTTGAGATTTTTTAAAGCCTCTGGATGCAATTGAAGCCAGTGGGCATGAAAAGATCCAATAATAAAGCCTGGAAAATGGACAGTGAGAGAATTTAATTAATTAGGTGTAGGTGCTGTCATGATATCCCACAGTTTGATCAGTGGAGACTTTATTTTAAGTGGGAGACTTACTGCATCTTGATTTGTTCTCCTGGTGTTCAACTCCCCAACTTCAACCTCTTCAAGTTCACTTCAGTCCAACTTTTCTCCTTTTTGTTGGATGAAAGCTGCTTCTAGTCAGACATCTTGTCCCTCCCTCCGGAGAATTCTTTATTGGCATCACCATTTCTCCAAGGAATCTCAATTTAGTGTCCTTCCTAGATGAGACTGTATTCAACCTGAGCCTTCTACTGTCACTAAATTTAGAACAGGGCAGCTTCAACCAACTCCTGCCCCAGCAGGACAGAGCCATATGGACAGTAAATGAGAAGCAGCCCAGCAAAAAACAGGAGGGCTGCCCACCCTGAGGACCAGTGGAGGAGCCATCCCTGCAAGGAGAATCCTGGGAATATTTCTTTGGGTCTGAGATATTTAGCCCCACTGTGCATGTAATCAGACTTCTTTAGATCTGCAGTCTCCAACCCTTGGGCTATAGATTGGTACCAGTCTTGGCCTGTTAGGAACTGGGTGTACATAGCTGGGAGTGAAGCTTCGCCTGTATTTACAGCTGCTTCCCATCACTTGCACCACCACCCGAGCTACACCTCTTATCATATCCAGCCCCACCACCCCATGCTCCCAGTCTATGGAAAAGTTGTCTTCCATGAAACCAATCACTGGTGTTGAAAAGGTTGAAGACCGCTGCTAATGAACTCTGCAGGTCTAAGGGTGCAAATAACATTGTCATGAGGATGTATGTGTGGTTTTCAAATTGGATAAGTTTAATTTAAATGGATATTGTAATAACATGGGGAACTCTGGATGCTGAGAGGGAGAGCTGCCATTTCATCTGTTTATCCCCATAAGGAAGAAGGAATATCCTCTCTGGCTATGTTGAGCTGAGGGAGTACTGTGTGTCATCTGGGAGAAGAATGGCTCTTATGCACTAGGACGGGGTTGGCAATGATACTCCCAAGTCAAGGAGTCTTATTTCTGAATGAACAATCATTTCAGGGCCCCAGGAGCCAGGACTCCTTACAAGGAAGGTGGGAGGCTCCTTACAATGACGATGGGAGTCTGTTCCTTCCAGGGATCCAACCTTTTGGAGGTGTTTTTCATGTCTGAACATGATGCTACTGTGACATCACTGAAACCAAGTCAGGGTGAAGACACTTAAATGGAAATATTTATTGCTTTAAAAATATAACATAGCTTTCCCCCTCCAACTTTGAGAAGGAATAGTGGGAGGAAAGAGGCAAGATGGCAGAAGCATTTAGAACTTCATTACAAATCGTAGGGGGTTGTCGCAAAGCACACTGGGTCAAGATGCACCTCGTGAAACATCACATCCTTTTTTCCACTCAGACAGATCTTTGCCCTCACAGTGCTTCTTCCAGCCTTGCCTAAGGAGGAAAGGGAAGCAGGAACAATAGAAAGAAGCATGACAATCTGGTGTTCTTAGCTTCAAAACCTATAAATAATTAATCAAAATAACCAACTGTGCCCAGAGTTAATAATCATCTGCTTCTGAGATCCAAGGAGTCCACCCTTTTTCCCTGTGAAGACTTTTCTCTTTCCAGTTTTCTGCTAATCATTAGTAACTTCAGCAACAAGTAAAAATTTTTATAAGCATGTGTCATTTAATTAAGTACCCACATCTCTGAAACTTTGGGTTCTCCAAGTGGGTGGCTTGTTTAGCAACAATCACTAGAAGCTTAGTAACAGAGACAGCCCTGAGTATCAGCTGAGCAATGTCCCGTGCTCCAGCGTCATCATGTAACACTGTGGTCCCCAACCCCCAGGCCAAAGATTGGTACTAGACTGTGGCTTACATGGGTCATTATGAACATTTTGATATACACACAAATCAAGAAATGTAAAATCCATGTGAAGCCTTCCCAGAAATACTCATGAGCTGAGCAAGTTGAAATTTGCATGAGTGAATCAGAAAAGTTGCTGTTGATTGTGTTTCTTGGAAGTAAAATAACAGACTATAACACAGTCTGTCTCAACAGTTTTGTAGTGACCCAAGGATTAGGAGCTGGGCTGCACAGCAGGAAGTGAGTGGCAAGTGAGCAAGTGCAGCTTCATTTGCTTTTACAGCCGTTCCCCATCACTCACATCACTGCCTGAGCTCCATCTCCCGTCAGATCAGCAACAGCATCTGATTCTCGTAGGAGCATGAACCCTACTGTAAACTGGGCATGTGAGGGATCTAGGTTGTGTGCTCCTTATAAGAATCTAATGCCTGATTATCTAAGGAGAAGATGTAGTGCACTCGAATCATCCTGAAATCACCTCCTCACAGTCTATGAAAAAATAATCTCCTGTGAAACTGGTTCCTGGTGCTAAAAATATTGGGGACCACTGATATAACAGACATGGTTATTTTTCTCTCACTCCTGCTTGACCTCATTCCCCACAAAATGTTGGTGTAGCCCTCAAAATCTTATCCAAATCTAGAGCAAACTCAATTTTTTATTCCTTCTGGTATATTGACTCGATGAATCCTTTCCAATTAGCATTAGAAAGTACCCCTCTCTCCATGGTTTGGGACAACTTCACATGAAAAACAATTGCAAATTATCCTGACTCAATCCCAAGTCTTCTAATCCCTGCTACAACTAGTTCACTGCACACCCACACACTGATATGGATGGCTGGGCGTGGTAGCTCACGCCTGTAATCCTACCACTCTGGGAGGCCAAGTGGGTGGATTGCTTAAGCTTCAGGAGTTCAGGACCAGCCTGAGCAAGAGTGAGATCTCATCTCTAAAAAAATATAAATATAATTGGGTGTTGTGGTGGGCACCTATAGTCTCAGCTACTTGGGAGGCTGAGGTAAGAGGATCACTAAAGCCCAATAGTTTGAGGTTACTGTGAGCTATGACCCCATAGCACTCCACTGAGGGTGACAAAGTGAAACTCTGTTTCATAAAAAAAAATGTAGACAAAGTCATGTTCAAATCAATAGACAACTCTGCAGCCACTGTTGCCATGATGAAGAGATACTTTTCCCCAGGCCAGCCAAAGTCTCCTAAAGAAAGACTCTTACCAATAGTTCATCCCTTGCGTCTCTTTAACAATTTTCTTGGCACAAATAATCGCATCCGTGAGGTCATCAGTGACCAAGGCTGTAAAAGACAGGAGGTATAAGGGTTAGCTGAGTTTTTGCTATTGGGGCGGGGGGGAGGGGCTGAAATTAGGTTTTCCTCATTTTTCTCACTGTTTTTGGAAGCAGAAGGTTGAAAAAACTGACATGCTCTACAGAGCTATTCTCATTCTGAGCTTCTTCGCAAATATTATGAAATAATTTTGTTTCAAAAACATCCTCACTTTGAACTCCTAAAGTTCCAGAGCAATAGCCCAGTCCTGTAAGGTTTTTGGAAATATGTTTAGAGAAGACACAATGAGACAATGTTTTTTATGTTCCAAGGATATATGCGCATAAGACAGGCGACTGTAGTCTTTTCTCTATTTGGGTTAGTTTGACATATAAGATCTATTTATAGGTTAATGAATATTAATGTTTGTTTATTGTTGTTTTCCAGTATGTGCCTTTGTAAAACATTTTTGTCTGAGCTGTGTTTCATATGCATAGATTTTTAAGTTTTAAGGCAAATTTGTCAGTCTTTGTCTTTATTACTTTTTCTGTTGCTTTGGACATGACCTGTCTTTTGACTGAAATGTATTAAGTGATATCAGTATTCCTTCCTGCTTGCCCGGAAGTGACCCTCTCACCACAAACACAACAGAAAAGGGTGAATAAATATAACATATATCCAATATCACTGTGGTTACAAGTTAGGTACTCCAGGAGCAGGTGCTGAAACGGATTTGGGGTACAAGATACTTATGAAAGATTCACACCTGTGAAAGAAATGGGGAGAAGGCAGGATTTGAACAGACAGATGGGGATGTCCATTTGGGAGACAGGCCCAACAATTCCTCAGCCCACCAGCCATGAGGGGAGGGACTACTACCCCATTAGTGTTGTCCAAGTTGGGCCCAGATCGTCAGATCCATATCCCACTTCCTTGCTTGGTGTTCACTCAGTGTGGGCTACCCCAGAAGGGTCTTTAGGTGAGGCGTTCTCTGCAGCTGAGGCAGACCCTGGAGGTGGTGGCAGGGAGACTGTCTGCTCATCACCCCAGTACCGCTGGGGTGACATGTCTTCCCTTGGGGGGTGGGGGTTCTAGGAGCTCTATCTCCATGACTGCCCCAACCACCAATCAAGGACAGGAAAATCCAAACCACTGATATCATTTCTATTTATCAACCTAGAGCTTAAGTCCCCTCACCTTCTGCCTCCTTCTTCCAACAGAAGCCAGTTAAGCAAAGATTCCTGCTTATGCTAATGCTTTATGCTAATAAAGTTGATAATAAAAACAGAAATATTAATTTTTCAAGTAATTAATCTATGAGGTTATCCAAACTCAAGTGTTTGGTAACTGATATATGTTCCAATTAGGACCATTTTAGTCTGGGTGCATAAGTGCTTGATAAACTTTGTGTTTGGAAGTGGCTGGGCACATTTTCTGGGGCAAGTAAGGTCAGTGACATCTCATGGGGTGGGAAGGATGAGGATTATACATGGCAAGGAAGAAGCAGAGCGCATCTATTATTCCCGGATTGGAGCACATTCCAGGCTTATACACAAAAGAGCAAGTTTTGTATTTGGGGCAAGACCGTTTGCTAGGCCAGAGATGCCACTTAAGGATTCCTGGGAGGATTAGGAGACGCAGAGCCAGGAAGTGAACGCCGTGTGAAGTTCTTCATCTGCCTCCGACTTTGTTAGAGCATTTTGTTGCATAATTGAGATGTTTTGAAAGTGCTCCTTGGGCATGACCGAATTTGCTCCGGGAGAATAGAGCAAGGAAGGTGGGGGCTGGGAAATAAAGACCTTCGCGCAACGAGGAGCTGTTACAAGAAACAGCCACCGAGGGGCAGCAGAGAGGCAGAAATAAGATCAAACAGAGCGCACGTTTTTTTAATGAGGATTCGTGCCAGTAATTGTTTCTGCCCAATTTACTTTAAATAGACAAGTCTGTCCAGTCAAACATGAATAAGGAAAGGGTTATGTTGAACAGCAAAGCATTATTCAACATAATAGTTTATTCTTCCTCGTCTAACAAAATAGCAATCTTCTACACAAAAAGAGCCACAGTTCTTACTTTAGTTTGCTAGTTCTGCGTCAAAGTGGCTCTGTCTCTCGCTGGCATCTCCCGCTTCTCAACTAAAAGACAGCTACTGTCCCCAAGAATTACATCTCTTCAAACTACTTCCCAAAAGGAACGTATTAGCTTGCATAGATAATGTCTTCACACAATAAATGAGGTGAAAGCTGTATTAACTAGTTTGATGTAAGCATTCCTAATTAAAAATCAGCACATTGTACCCCATAAAGGCATCACTGTATACATGATCTATGTGTTTATGACTTAATAAAATAAATAAATAAATAAATAACTTTAAAAAAAAAAGAATCACATCTCCTTCTCTTTAAAGTGACAAAATTCAGCTCATCAGATACTTGGCTGATGAGCAATAAGACTAATATAAGTAAACTAGACCAGATAGAAAAGCCAGGAATCACCTTTTCCTCAAATGTGTCTTATTTTAATGAAGCCTGTGCTGAAAACAAAGATTGCATTATGCCAGGAGTTTTGATCATGGGGTACATGCGTATCTATGTATGTATGTGTGTATGTATATGTGTGTGTATATGCTTTATATATGTAAATGTTTTTAAAAACTTCAGTTGCAATAGTTTGGGAAAGGTAGGCAGGAATTTTAGGAATACGATTTGGAATGAGGAGTGGGGACATTGGTTTCACAAGAAGGGCATGACATGTGTGTATATTATACATATTCTTTATTAACATACCCCTAGGACATTCAAAAGAGGCAGTAGATGAGTGGTAAGTGGTCTTACTATTCAGAATACTCTAGAACTTCCCTAACAAAGATTAAAAGCATGCTAACTTGCTTCCATGACAAAGGTCCCCACTTCTATGATACAAATGACCTTGTTCATGATGAAAGATTCTCTGGCCTGAGGCTGAGGGAGGGGTGATTAGGATATAAAACCAACATCCTGTTTTTCTATTTCAAAGCACTCCTTGACTATATCCTGCTCTTTATGATGAGAAAACAGATATGTGTGCCCTTTACCTCTAACCATGACCTGTCAGACACTCTAATTTCATACAATCCATTATCATCTTGCAGACAAGACAAGATAGACAATTGCTCCAAACTCCCTTAATTGGAACAAAATTGAACAATGTTAAATTAGAAAACTGTATGTAAAGGCAAGCATGTCATGATGGGGTAACAGATTTTGCCATAAAAAACTAGAAAACTGGACAGAATATATAAAGAGGTTATTTTCAAGGGCCTGGAGTGGTGGCTGATGCCTGTAATCTTAGCATTCTGGTAGGCTGGGTGGGTGGATTGCTTGAGCTCATAGGTTGGAGAGAAGCCTGAGTAAGAGAAAGACCCCTGTCTCTAAAAATAGCTAGGCATTGTGGCGGGTACCTATAGTACCAGCTACTTGGGAGGCTGAAGCAAGAGAGGATTGCTGGAGCACAAGAGTTTGACATTGTTGTGAGCTATGATGCCATGGGACTCTACCAAGGGTGACAAAGTGAGATTCTGTCTCAAAAAAAAAAAAAGTTATTTTCTACTGGGAAACTGGTAGTGCAGGATCACCGTCCTTTATAGAAAATAAATGTGATAAGCCTTACGATTGCCATGACTTCCTGTCCAGAGGAAACTTCCTCTTGAGGTAGAACCCTGGTAGGGCAAGAGACAGACCTTAGAGGCCTAATGCAGCTGGAATTTGTGGAGAAGAATATCTAAGAAGTAGGAGCTGCCCATAGGAAGAGCACCAGAAATTTGCATAGGAGTTCTCCCAAATCTTTGGCTGAGGGCCAACCTGGGCGTGCAAAATGTAAAACTCCATGAGGCTAAGCAGATAATAACTAAGCTGGACAATTACAGAGCCCACACAGGACTGGGAAACATTTGGTTGCCAAAGAGAAGATCTTGGTGAACCCCTAGGACATTCAGAAGAGGCACTAGATGAGTAATGCTTTGATAGTATATAGTAGACTAAAGTGGTCTTACTAGACAGACTACTCTAGAACTTCCCTAACAAAGTTCAAAGAGCATGCCTAAAGGACTTAAAGAAAAACACAAAATAAAATTTTGTTGTGAAATAAAAGAAAGATTAAATGAAAGATTAAAAAACTACCCAATACTGAATAAAAAAATCTAGTATCTGAAATGAAACTTCCAGTTACTTGAGTTTAATAGATTAGAAAGTTCAGGGGGAAAAAAAAACCAATGAATTTGAAGATACAGCAATGGAAACTATTGAAAATAAAAAAGGAGAGAGGGAAATAGACTAAAGATATGAAGAACCTCTGTGGCCTGTAAGATAACATCAATAACATATGCCATTAGAAACATGGCAGAGAAGAGAAAAAGTATTTGAAGAAAAAGTAAAAGAAAAAGTATTTGAAGAATGAATGACTAAAATTTTTCCAAATTTAATGATAGGTATAAACTCAGGGATCCAAAATGTGAATGAATACCAAGTAAGATAAACACAGACACCCCACACATAATCAAATTGCTGAAAATGAATGATGAAGAGAAAATCTCAAAAGCAGCTAGAGGAAAAAAGACACATTACATGCAGGGAACAAAGATAAGAAAAGCACTGATTTCCAACTGTACACAAGGCAAGCTTGAAGACGATGGAACATCTTTAACAACTTGAAAAGAAAACAACTATTAGCCTAGAATTTTATGCATAGGGAAAATATCCTTCAAAAGCCAAACTAAATGCTTGCTAGTAGTTAGCTATTCCAGAGAGAAAGAGAGAGAAAGAGAGGAAGTTCTTCAGGCTGAAAGAAAATAGTATCACTTAACTGCCTGGTCAGTGAATCCACCAAAAGAATGAAGAGTATTGGAAGTAGTAAATATGTGATAAACATAATGAAATATTTTTCTTCATTTAAAAATTTAATTGGTTAAAGCAAAAAGAATAAAAATGCATCCTGAAGTATGTAACGTGTAGAAGTTAAAATGGATGACAACATATCACAAAGGATGACGGGGAAAG